GGAGTTGTTGGAAACCAACAACGAAACGAATAAGCTTGTAGTGGGCTTATGGAAAACATCTCGAAATTATGAGGTGACAACCGGCCACTAACGGAAACAATTGCTTGCTTGAGATCAACGAAGAGATGTAAACTGCTTTTGCCGAGAGGATAGGAGAAAACTTGGATCATTGATAAGCACCACAAATAGCAACAATCCTTAGGGAAGGCTTTAGGTGAAATATGACACAAGATAACTCCAATGAAGAGATTAATGGATTTAAAATACCTCGTTCTTGACAACATGTGAATCATGAAACATGAAGGAAATTGTCAAGAGTGACATAACACCATCTCAAGAGATAAGGTAGGAAGAATTGCACTTCGAAATGCAAGAAGAAGAATACTTGAACTCCTCAAAAAAAACATGTGTTGAGCACCATGTTTATTTTAGAGTAAAACTTGGCGGATCATAACTTCGAGAGAAATCTTGAAGACAATTGAAGAATGAAAAGAATCCTTGACGAACCACCATGTTGAGCCTCCATGAAGAACTCCGGTAATAAATGAATGATAGAAAGAAAGAGAAGTTGAAAACACAAGGTGAAGCCTTGCAATGATTTAGAAGGAGTTTCGCGACGATATAACCGAGAGAACTTGGAACTCCAGAAAGAAAAGATGAACTACAAGAAGCCAAGAATTACTTCATCATGAACAATCTCCGGAAGAAAAGAATTGAATCACCTAGAGGAAATAAGAATAAGATTTATTGTATGCTTATCCTTCATCAAATTAAATTGATGACAAGCAATGGATTTGGCATACTACTTATTCTCGTAGAAAGGATTAAGAGAGATATAGCACAAACTTGAGAAGGTATTGATGGAACCACCGGTGGGATTTGGAAACAACAAATATTTGATATGATAACGAAGGAAATGAAATGTTGAACGAACCACCAAAATTGTTGAGGCACTTCGGAACAAAGAAGAATAGAAATGATGAACCAACGATGAAAATATTTTGAAGTGATCTTGGAGAAAGAATATGACTGATGAAAATTCATTCTTACATCAAACTTGGAAATGAATTTGCGAATGGATCCTGATAATTAGAAGAGTCAGGTAAGATCCTGGGAAAAGACCTGTGGGTTAGGGCCCACTCAAAAGAAAACATCATTGAACGATTGATTGAAAGGGGGGATTGCACCGGTTGAATTAAATGGCTTGAATGAGATAACAACCTCAAAATAACTTGAACTGATTGAGAATGGAAACACGAATCTTCCGAGATATCTTGAGCACTCCGAATAAGAATAGAGAGAGTTGAACAATTATGAGAGGCACCGATATGGGATAGCATTTGAACGAGGATAAGGATATGATCAACACCAAAAGCTTGAGGTAAATCCACCGGAGAATAAAAGAGACGAAGAATAATAAACTTGAAGCTCGTGAGCATCTTCACGAGGGATCACCGGATCAGAACATTGATTGAAAAGGTTGAAGTGACTTCACATGAATAAATGGATACTTGATTAAAATATATGAGTCCTTGAAGAAAAGGGTGGGAGGGCGGGAAAACAAAGACAACTTGGGACGGATGAAACAAACACCGGTGGGAAAACTTAGAGTTGATCTTGTGGATGGGGAGAATGATGGGATCATCTCGAAGAGAATCGCACCGGTTGGAAAAGAATTAACATGATGACCTCGATGATCAAGAAGGATTAGTATTCACATAGCAATATGAGAACACCGTTTATGAAAGGTATGGATTCAACATTTGACTTCGAAGCAACTTGAATACCACAAATAAAACAAAACAAAGGATTTGGCTTGCAGAATAAGCCGGAACAAACATATGATAGAGATTCCGTCCGAAATTTTCGTGGTGGGGCCCACACGGGCTCGAGTGTACAACACCATCATGTACAAGGCAGTGCACATGACATACGAAGTGTCCCTGAACCAGCATAGCCAAGGGTTCTTTAAGACACAACGAGACCACTGTAAAAACGACCGTGGAAAGGCGGACCACTAGACGTCAAACCCCAATCTCGTATCATGCATCTGTCGAAAAGATATTCTAGGAGCTACTTGGATTCCCACCTATAAAACTCCCGAAACTTTCTGGTTATGCAATTTGGTGTTGGGGATACAGGGGAAGCAATATATATCTCACCCAAAACTAACAATCCCTACATCCAAGATGTATCCATCCGTCAACACATAACCAAGAAACCTTCGGAAATCGTGCACCTCAACCTTCGAAAAGCATCCGTTATACGAGCTATGGCAATACTCCCGAACTCCCGCCCTAGTACCGGGTGGCGTCGAGGTTATCTCACCAACAACTGCATAAAAGAGATTTTCGATGTCGGCAAAACTCAGGTATTCGAGAACTGCAACGATAAAATTGTGACGATAACACCTCGGAGCTCAACTCCCCGGGTCAATGCCACATAATAGACAGGAGGCACCAAGAACAATGTTCTCGTCACAAAACCATCATAACGATTCCAAGATACCTGCGTGATCCTAAATTTTTTTTAGTGAAATTTGAGGAGAGGAAAGTCAAAACATCTACGTCAGGAGACCTCACCAGATGCATCCGAGGTCTTCGGGTTCGTAGTTGTACTTGGCATTCGGAGTCCGGGTCTTGTCGGTCCAAAACGAAGGAACACCAGGGCCTCGATTGGCAGCAGCAAGGAGGCGATGGAACAGCAGGCTGAGGAAGACGCGACGCTGGGTTGGGCCTTGGCGTGCTAAGGCTGCTGGTAGCCTGAGCGAGTGACACAGAGGAGGGCTCGAAGGGAAGCAGGGGCAGTGGCATGGAGCTTGACGGCGGGGACTTCAAGCGATCGAGGAGGCAGCAAGGGGCGCAGGGCGGAGAGGCAGATGCGGGCGAGCAGAGACGGGGCGGCGTCGGGCGCACAGGGCGAGGAGGTCCTGGCACGGGGACGGCAGGGCGTGTGGAGGCGATGGACGGGCAGCAACTCGGGGAGCTCCTGCTCAAACCCGACCGCGGAGGGAGGCACGGGGCTGCAGGCCTCGAGCGGCGAGGAGGCACCATGGAGGAGAGGAAGGAGGCCGGCTGATGTGCAGGAGGAACAGAGGGGATCGGGCGTGAGGCGCGGGAGCTCCTCTTCCTGGCTGGCTGCGGCATTGAGGGAGAGAGCGAGGGAGATGGGATCGGGCGAGGAGGTGGGGGTCGGGCGCTAGGTACGAGCGATGCGGCGCTGGAGGGAGGACGAGGGAGATGGAGATCGAGCGGAGGGGAGGCTAGGGTTAGGTAGCGGCGTGGCGGCTGGGCCTGAGAGGAAATGGCCAGAGGCCTGGCTGGGCTCTCTCTCACTACTAAAAGAAAAAAAAATGGAGATTAAGAAAGAAAAGAAAGAGAGGTTAGGGGAAGAAGTTGGACACACGGATAATTTTCCCGGGCTCACAAAAATGAGTTTGATCCAAGAAAAATAGGAAGACCATGATTGCAAGATTTAAATTCAAACTCATTTGAATTTAATTCAAATGGGTTTGAACTAGGACTTGATAAAAGGAAGGTCCAAAAATATTCGGATTTTTGGTGGAGCTCCGGAAAATGACGAAAGAATTTATGCGCAAGGTTTGAGGTCAAGAAGTGAGATAACAAAGGCATGGAGAATTATTTTGCAAGTGGGTTATTGTTAATTCCAAATAAATGGAATAATTTTATTATAGCTCCCTAATATTGAGAGGATATATTATAAAGAGAAGTCACCATTGTGAATATCCCTCGATTTAAATGGACCGAGGATCCATACCATTTATTTAGATGAGTTTTAAAATTAATGATATGATGACATGATGACATGATGCAATGCAAGAGATGACATGATGAATGCACAAACAAAACAAATCACACGACAAAACTCGAAGTAGCTGGAAGTCTTCTGGAGCGTCGTTCTCGGGGCGTTACAGGTTTAAACTTATGTTCGGATCTTAACCGTTGATCCTTCCTGAAGAGTATCACCTGAAGCCATGTGAGCAATAAACCCTATAGTGGTATGGTAATAAGCACAGGATTGGGCTGCATGCATACAGAGCCATTGGGAAGTTTGACAAAATCCTGTGGAATTTAAACAACCTAGACTAGTGGTAGAAACATAGCTGTATTTATGTATGTATGTAATTGGTGTTTTTTAAGTCTTAACGTAAATAACAGTAGTACTGCTTGGCCAACCCCCGTGAGATGCTGGAAAATATCAAAATAATCAGACCACAAGGTTTAAATAGTAGAATCTAAGCGGAAATACGAGTTTTTGTACCTGAATTAAAAAGTTTAAATAGGAACATGGAACCTCTAGTTTGCTCAGATTATTGTATTACATTTACATGATTCACCTTTCTAGAAGATGTGGTGATAGTTAAGTCATCTTGAGTCAATCACACGACACTTGCAGCGAAAGGGAGATGAGGAAAATCAGTAAATGCAGCAGAGTAACTTCTCTAAGATTTCCTGAAATGGTAAGATGGCGGAATGATGCAATGCACCTCATGTTAAGATAACACTGAACATGCGCAATGCAATAAGATAATGAATATATTTACTGACATATTGGCCCTTTTATATGCTATTAAAATGATGCAGTTTTTGTGTGCCTGGTTAATTATCAAGCAAGTTAAAGGGCTGTACCCAATGCTTTGTACCGCCGTGTGCGCATATTAAAGCTCAACCAGCTATGATGATGAATTATACACTTAGCCAGCAAAGATGGCTCCACCATGTGAGAAAAAATGGTCCTAGGCAACAAATCTTGCAAGTTGCAACCACAGATAGCAACATCACACCAAGGGAGTTCATGGACTTGTCTCTGGAACACTCGGTCTTTGTGATAGTTGTACAAGATGCAGACCCTACCATGGCACACACGCCCTATAAATACGTGATGATGGCACAAACCATCGCCACACACAAGCTGACCTTTTTTCTCTGATCATTTCTTCTCAGAGACACATTCCATCTTCAAAATCAAAACAAGTGATCATGATGAGCTCCAAGAAACTAGCTCAACTTTCCAAGAAGTGGCAAGGAATCAGTGCCATCGGGCGAAGAAGGGTCACAACAACGGACAAGGATGTGCACCCATCCTGCAGCTCAGTTGCAGGCAAGGGCCACTTTGTTGTCTACTCCTCCGACGGGAGGCGCTTCGAGATCCCCATAGCGTGCCTCCGCACGATGATCTTCGAGGAGCTCCTGAGGATGTCGCAGGAAGAGTTTGGGTTCACAAGTGAGGGGAGGATCACACTGCCTTGTGATATGACTATGATGGAGTATGTAATGTGTTTGCTCAGGAGAGAGGCCTCTGAAGATGTTGAGAGGGCGCTTCTCAGCTCCATAATAACAACTTGCCACCATCCAAGCAGAATGATGCAAGCAGCCACTGGACTTCACCAGCAATTTGCTGTGCGCAGCTCTTCAAGAGTGAACGTCTCCAGATTTTTCTTTCTGTTTTTATGTTCCATCTTTTTTCCCGGTTGTACTTTTGGAGCACACCTTTTGTGCAATGTTTTTCCAAGGGTGCCGTACTGTGGATGTACAGATGGATGCATGTAAAAATAATCACATTGTGATTACAAGAAGAAAGAATCAAGTTTAGCCCATTGAAACAGTATCTAGTGCTACTACTGCTAATGTAGTTTCTGCACTGTATTAGAGAGGCCACCACAGAAGCCAACTAGGAATCACATGAAGAAACTAAGAAATGGATGGCATGTGAGATGCTGGAAAATATCAAAATAATCAGATCACAAGGTGCAAATGGCCGTAATGAAATTGTTGAGCAAGTTGCCTGAACAACCAACAACCTTCCTAACCGGATTAATGTCTTTTTTTAAGTAATGTACCCTACTAGCAGACCCAATCCTCTATACACCATTAACAAAGGATGTGCTTCGGTAGGCCTTGTAACATCCCAAATTTTCAATTTGGAATGTTATGTATAGGTCATCATATGCATATCATATTTTATTTGCATTTTGGTTTGATCCTAGAAATTCTAAGCAACTCAAGGACCCACGGAGAGAGTTGGGGATTTCATTATTCTCATGTTTGAATTTTCTCAAATTTGTAAAGAGGATCATTTTGGTTTTATTGTTTTTCTCTCTGAATATTTCCTCTATTAAAATAAAAGAGAGGGGATAAAATGACTTCTCCAAAATAAAAGAAATATTGAAGGAAAAATGTTAAAATCAAATAAATATTTTAATTGGATTTTATTGCTATTTTATTTGGATTAGAAAAATATGCATTTTTTAAAATTGCTTTAGTAGCCCAAATAAATGTTCACTTTGTCCGAAATATTATTAGAGGACCGTGAAAATTTATTTCGGGATTTTTGGACTCCGTTTGGTATTTCTTTTATTTATTTTACTTCGTCCGTATAAAAAATCGCAACCGACCTACGGGCCGTGCCCGAGCCGGACTCTTCCGGCCGGCCCTTTAAAGGGCGAGCCCGAGGCCCCGCCTCAGCCCAGCCGCCGCCCCGCCCCAAACCCTAGCCACCGCCACCCACCACCCGCGCCGCGCCGCCGCCGCCGCCCGCCGACATCGCCGGAGCGCCGCCGGAGTTAGCCGCCGCCGCCGCCGGTCTTTCGCTCGATTAGGTAAAACCGTTCGGTTTTTTTAAAACCCTAGATTGGTTTTTTTAGTAGATATGTTTTTCTGCGGTTAGGTTAATTTGCGAACGCTCGTTCGTTAGCTCATTTTAACGAAGGAATTCGTTCGTTTGTCTATGTTAGCGGACGTTTGTCCGATAGATTTTTCTTTTTCTGTTTTTTTTTCATCAGGGACCTATCTGCGATTATTTTTATCGCAGATTAGCCCCTGATCTTCAAACCCTCGCAACTTTTTAACCGTTAGTCGGAATCCAGTGAAACCAACGCCAAAATCTTCGTCTCAAGCCCCTCTTTCTGTTTAATCAACTTGAACAGGATTTTGACAAATTAAAATTTGATTTCAAGCAGATTTGGTTTCGATCTTCTTTTGAGCGTAGTTTGAGTTTCGTAACTCCGATTCGAGTGATTCTTTTTGCAAATCGAAGCTCTTCAGTTGAACTTTCAGTCTGGATCATCTTATTTGAGTTTTAACCGTGCATCTATGCTTGAGTGCTTATGTATGCTATTGTTTGTTTGCGATAGAATACCCGGAGTGCAAAGCGTGCTACTACGAGTCTCTAGGGTTTGTAGATCGTCAGCAAGGCAAGTAACACTTTGATCATATCCCTTTATTACCCAGTTTTTATGCATTGGTTCCAATCCTCAAACGTTCATGGTTAGGACCTGAATAACATGTGGGTTTGGGAAGTAGATGATGTGGTAGAACCTATTGCCCTTTTATTATCAAATCTTTGGGAGTTACTTCTACGTTATGCTCAGGTTGCTATGTTATGCTTGTAGACGTGGATTGGTTGAGTGTATCCATGACAGAGGTGAGAATTGTTAATTAATGGTTAATTTAAGGTGGCTACTTAAATACACATCTGGGTGGATTAGTTGTGGGCACCTGGAGAATCTAGTATTGTCCTAGGATATCCCAGAGTACCCGTGTGATCATCCTACGCTTCGCCACCCAGGCTCAAAGGGATCATAAGATTATTCATGCTAGAAACTTCCATGTGCAGCCACAAGCTAATATGGGCTCTAGCATAGTTGAGTATGTTGCATGACCTCTTTCAGTGGTGGGCTAGCAGATGTAGGGGAAAGTAGGTGTAACTGTCCACCCAGAGTAAAGAGTTAATATTTCTGAAAGACTGTGTCTTGGTCATCTGTTTCTCAAACACCATGTAGTGCGAGAAATCTAATGGAGGAGATCGAGTCTTATGGGGAAAAGTACACAAACCTCTGCAGAGTGTACAAACTAATCATGGTTAGCCGTGTCCCCGGTTATGGACATCTTGAGTATCTGGTTCTTGAATTATTGATTTGATCTCATCAGTCTAAATTAATTTGTTGGGTTAATTGATACATGTTTAATTGGGATTGAGTTGGAGGAACCTTCTCAATGTTTAACAACCACCATGATAGTTAAATAAAATATGTTCCTTTGTTGTAGGGAAAAATTGGCTTTATGCAAAATATTAACCATAGAGCTCTCCACCAGCCATATATGCATGTAGTGATAGCATTTATTCTGTTCATTGCTCTTTTGTGTTACATTGCCAGCATATTCCATGTGCTGACCCGTTTCGGGCTGCAACATATCATGTTGCAGACTTTTCAGACGAAGAGTAAGGTGCGCTAGGTCGTTGTCGTTCACTCAACTATGCCTATGGAGTTGATGGACTCACTTTATCTTCCAAGCCTTCCGCTGTTATCTTATTTAGATGGCCTTAAGCCATATTATTGTAATAACTTCTCTTTTGAGACATTCGATGTAATAAGTGTGTGATTGAAACTCTGTTATAAATCCTCAAGTACTTTGCGTGTCAGCATTACTGATCCAGGGATGACACTGATGCACAGAGACTAGACCGATTGAGGTCTGGTCGCTACATGCCTCATATGAATCTGGAGCCTACATGTTGTAGTAATATCTCTTAGCCACTACACAACTCAATACTCAGTATTTCTATTTGCTAGTACTACTGCGAAGCCCATGAAGTGAGCTTCATACTTTTCAAAAGAGAAGTGAGGCCTATCACCTAAGGAAGGCCTCATGAAACATCCCAAGTTATTCTTTGTGCAGTGCGTATCCAATCATCTAACCACTTATTAGCTATGGCCTCTGCCAGGACCACAAATGTATGTAGCAACCGCATTAATCCAGTTTAAATCACATTGCCTCCAATATAGTGAACACTGCATGAGCAGACTCATGGCCTTCTTACCTGCCAGTTGCCAAATAGTGTCATTGATGACACACGGAAGTCATGGACCATTTATTCACCTACTAGCTATACAATTGATTTAGAAGCCCTGATAAATGTTCTCACCTCATCCATAAAAATATGATTGCAAATGCTGAAGCCTGGACCTGATAACACAATGCATTCCCTCCTAATAGGGCTCAACAACAAGAAGGCACACCAAGAACACATTGCTTCGAAGTTTAAACATAACTTCAGAGGTCCTCGGTCCTTGCTGTCCTATGGAAGATCTGGGACGCCCGTAATGCCATGGTTTTCCATCATGTAAACCACGGTCAGGAACATCCTCGACGACTTCACCAACTGGCCTCATCGGTTCACCAAGGCCGGTCATAACGATGACACTAATGCTTGGCGTCTATGCCTTTCTTCACATTTAGACGAGCTTGTGCCAAACTCTGTCCTGGCAACTTTGAGTAATATATTCAGGTGGTGGAGCCCCCTCTCAAAACAGGCTTTCGCCCCACTTTATATATAAAGCAACACCCGAAGAAGTACACGACCGAACGATACAAGATGGTGAGGTAGCCCTCTTACCAAGCCAATCCTGAGATAACCGGTAGACATGCTACCAGCAAAGAGCACTGGGACAACTAAGCACACCCCACGCTACGACCTAGCACACCTAAGCTCCACGACAACGCCCCCAATAGGGAGAACGGTGCAGAGCATCGCCGCTGCCGAGTCCATACGGACAAAGATCTTCACCCCGGAGACCTGACACGGAGAGAAGAACCACAACGTGTTGGAAATATGCCCTAGAGGCAATAATAAAAGTATTATTATATTTCATTGTTCATGATAATTGTCTTTTATTCATGCTATAACTGTATTATCCGGAAATCGTAATACACATGTGAATACATAGACCACAATATGTCCCTAGTGAGCCTCTAGTTGACTAGCTCATTATGATCAACAGATAGTCATGGTTTCCTGGCTATGGACATTGGATGTCGTTGATAACGGGATCACATCATTAGGAGAATGATGTGATGGACAAGACCCAATCCTAAGCATAGCACAAAGATCGTGTAGTTCGTTTGCTAGAGCTTTGCCAATGTCAAGTATCTCTTCCTTCGACCATGAGATCGTGTAACTCCTGGATACCGTAGGAGTGCTTTGGGTGTATCAAACGTCACAACGTAACTGAGTGACTATAAAGGTGCACTACAGGTATCTCCGAAAGTATCTATTGGGTTGACACGGATCGAGACTGGGATTTGTCACTCCGTATGACGGAGAGGTATCTCTGGGCCCACTCGGTAATGCATCATCATAATGAGCTCAAGGTGACCAAGGTGTTGGCCACGGGATCATGCATTACGGTACAAGTAAAGTGACTTGCCGGTAACGAGACTGAACAAGGTATTGGTATACCGACGATCGAGTCTCGGGCAAGTAACGTACCGATTGACAAAGGGAATTGTATACGGGGTTTTGATCGAATCCTCGACATCGTGGTTCATCCGATGACATCATCAAGGAGCATGTGGGAGCCAACATGGGTATCCAGACCCCGTTGTTGGTTATTGATCAGAGAGTCTCGGTCATGTCTGCATGTCTCCCGAACCCATAGGGTCTACACACTTAAGGTTCGGTGACGCTAGGGTTATCAGGAAGACAAGTATGTGATTACCGAATGTTGTTCGGAGTCCCGAATGTGATCCCGGACGTCACGAGGAGTTCC